CCCGGGCTGGACTCCGCTTCGTCCACCGTGAAAGCTGATCCGGTAATCTACAGCGCAAAGTTGTTGTATTTCCTCAGCGACCAGCACGGATCAGCTCTAGGCATGACGAAGCGGATATCGTCCTCTTTTGGAAGGCCAAACAAAGTAGTTTCGCTTTCACAACGAAACACACAGCACCTTCACGACATGGCGGCAGCAACAATACTACAGCGAGAATAAAAGTTACGCTTCTTTCTTTGCGTGAACATTTGGGCGGCGTTATGCAAATCTTCCCACATCGTGTGGGGGCGTGTTAGAACGAGCCGTTTTAGGTAGGCGTGGTTGACTCTTAACTTTTATAAAGAATATCTCTTTGGATTTGAGACTTTAGTCTTTGCAACTTTACAGATCTTCTTTATGCACCAAGAGCTTGTAACACTTCAAAGAGAAAGGAAAAATTGAAATCACATCATATGACCCCTTTAATGAAAACGGCTTTAGAATGCTTCAGCATTAAAGGAATAGTTCACCCAAAAATGAAAACTTTGTCATCATTTACTCACCCTCATGTCGTTCCAAACTTATACAGTGAGTAAATGATGACAAAATTTTCATTTTTGGGTGAACTATCCCTTTAAAGGAAGAAGAACTCACTCAACTATAATCAGATCACTGTTAGAAAGTGGTGTCTGTTGAGCATCAAATGTGATGTATTTATAACTTATCCACAACAGAGTTGTTATGCAACCCTTGGCCCAGATTCCCTGTTTTGAATGGCCGGATGCCACTCGTTGTTCTCTCCTCAGGATGATTTAACGTGCCTGATGGAAAATATCTCAGGCTGTCCTTAAATGTCAGTGCCCGGTCATTAAGCACTGCATGTATAGTTATTGCTAGTGACAGTATTATTGTTGTTGATAATCTCATGGATGTCCACCACAAATTTCCTTTCTAGACATTATCTGAATCATCCCACTGTGATCAAGAAGAACCAGAGATACTGCAGCTACAGGAGCGAGCCAGCCGTTTACTGCAGAGAAGGTGAGACACACTGTAAACTCACACTCACTAAAGTCATTTCACAATGATGATAAATGACCACCAACATAGTCCGCTTCCTGTCTGAATGTCAGGACTGAATGTTCAAGTGTGAAAGTCTATATGGGAGTTTCACAATCAGACAAGATTTAGTACTTTTATTCATCAGTGACGCATTAAATTGATCAAAAGTGACAGAAAATACATTTTTAATGTTTAAAAACATTTCTATTTCAAATAAATGCTGTTTTTTAAATTAAATTAAAAATTCGATTGATTTCTGAAGGATCATATGACACTGAAGACTGGAGTAATGATGCTGAAAATTCAGCTTTGAATAACAGGAATAAGTGTCATTTCAAAATACAGTAAAACAGTTATTTTAAATTGTAGTACTATTTTACAATATTACTGTTTTTACTGTATTTTTCATCAAATAAATCTAGCCTTGGCAACTATTATATTATCATGTTCTCAAACTATTGACTTTTGGGTACATATTAATAAAAAAAAATGTAATAGTTTGCTTTATTAAAAACGTTAACTAAATAATTAATGTTAAAAGGAATTTAAATCACTTTATAACAGGGTTAAAATCCTGAGTGTTTAATAAAGATTCCTAGGTGTTGATGAATTTTCTTTAACTTCATGGTTTGTGATTGCATTATGACTGCATATTCCATCTTGGGATTTCATTAGGTTTGAACAGTTGAGATGATTTTTGTGTTTTCAGTGAGCATTCGCTCAGCAGTGGCTCCGTGCCTATCAGCTCTGAGGGTCTGGGCTGCTCTGATTTCTCCTCCCCCGTAAGCACTGATGAGCCAGTCCGAAGACCACTCGTGTCCACCTTAATGGGCTCAACCAACAGTAAGTAACAGCTGTAACACAGAAATGAATGTACACATTTTGTAACCTGCCACACACACACTTTTTATCTCTTCCTGAACATGTTTGTGTCTCCGATTTTAAAAACAGATTAAAAAGCACCCACACCTCTAACCACAAATGCAGTGAAAAGCAGAAATGGTTGTGTAAACACTCTGTTAACTAAAAACAAACAGAAACGGATAGAACTGTCATTTTGGTGTGCTAGGTATTTATATTAGTGCAATAAAAGTGCATTAGAGCATTTTTTTTGTTTCTGTCTCTTTAAGTGATTGTAGAGCCCAGTCTGTGTGAGGGAATGTCTTTTCCTCCTCCTGCGGTTGGTTCAGAGAGGTCAGGTGTCCGTCGTGAAGATGACATCCTGTTTCAGTGGCGACTAAGGAGGAAGATGGAACAGGCCAGACAATGGAGTCAGGAGGCCCCTTCCCACAATTCTGTTCTCCATATACCTCTATCACCAAACCAGGTGAACCAACACCACAGTGCCTATCAGGATATTTCTTTTTGATTAATTTAAGCCGAAAAGTTAAATATTTCAGAATTTATAATATAATATAATACAATATAATTTTTAAAAGTTTGTGATCGCTAAGAGTTTTAAAATGTTTTTGAAAGAATCTGCATGTATTTGATAAAAAATTCTGTAAAAGCAGCAATATTATAAAATACTATTGTAATCTAAAACAACTATTTACTATTTTAATATATATTAAAATATAATTAATTCCTGTGATGGCAAAGCTGAACTTTCAGCATTGTTACTCCAGTCTTCAGTGTCATATGATCCTTCAGAAATCATTCTAATATGCTGATTTGTTGCTCAAGAAACATTTCTTATTACTAACAGTGTTGAAAACAGTTGTGATGTTAAATGTTTTGCAGAAACTCTGGTACACTTTTAAGGATTATTCATTAAAAGTTTAAAAGAACAGTATTTATTTTAAATAGAAATCTTTTGTAACATTATAAATGTCCTTTATGCCACTTTTGATCAGTTTTATGTGTCCTTGCTAAATAAAAGTATTAATTTCATTAATAAAACCTTACTGGCCCCAAACGTTTTAACTATAACACAATAAATTCTATAGGTGGCATTTTTAATTATTAATATCTTTTGAAAATATTGTGCATGATATATGTCATTCATACTGAAAATATTTTAAGCGTTTTTTTTTATTATATCCATCAGATGAATTTGTGCCATAATAATATTTAATTGAATGCTCTGGCATGACATCAACAATAAAACATGGAAATTGTTTAAAATGTTGATTATTTATATCGCTGTCGTAAATGCATGCTTATAAAGTTAGTTTTGTATTGTGTGATTTACATTTAACATTGTTTAGGGACTCAGTTAGAACTTGTGACCCACCAGTTTTGGATTTTCGCATTTACTTTATGCTAAGAAAATTGTATGCTAACATTTCTAATCAATACATTCTTCTTCTTTGTTTCCTTTCAGAAGGCACACTGTAGCACTTTAAACGGCACGTCTCATCAGAGAGCAAACCTCTCATTCACCCTCGCTAGACTCGATCTTCCAGTCCCTGAGACTGCTCTCCCAATTTCAAGCCCCAGTGTCTCCAGACTTCAGCCTGATGAGCAACCAGACCCCGATATCCAACCCAAACCCCTTCCCCAGCAGAGACTGTCCTCCAGGAAAGCTGTCACAAAGAGTCTAGAAACCCCTTCTGCCCAACCACAACATCACAAGCCAATCAGAACACAGGTCAGCATCCCAGAGACCACAGCAGATCACCACAGAGCGCAGACATCCTCTTCTCCATCTCCACTGACTTCTGATAGCACAGAGGAGCGGTGGCCGGCCCCTCACCATAAGAAAGACACAACAGTCAAAGAAAAGACTGAACATGAGAGACATGAGAAGAAGATTGCACCGTCAAGCCGAAAGAAAACATCTGAAAGGTAATTTATGTTTTGCATAATTGTTCAAATCAGACTGTGACCTAACCAGGCAAAACGTGACAGATGTTTAATGACAAGTAATTGTGATAATAATGTTTGATATTAAACATTTGCACATTCTTATCTTCATGTCCGTGTAGACATAGTGGCGAGCGAGGCAGCAGTGCAGTGAGGGTCAGGCATGCTAGGAGTCATGAAGGGGTCAGTCGCAAACCGGAGGAGCCGAGTGGAAAAAGCAGGTGGCAGGAAGAGGGTCAAAGTTCGGCACGAGGAGGACAGTCTGGAAATCGAGCACCACCACCTTCACCTATACATAATGCTCTGGGACAGGTTTGTGAGTTTGTTTTATGATGCACTACAAGTGTCTGAAGCTGTTGAACCCCAAGTTATTAATTTAATTAAATTATTAATCATTTAAAATGACACCTATATTATTATATTATATATCGCTTTTTTAAGAAATTAATGCTTTTATTCAGCAACAATGCATTAAATTGATCAAAAGTGACAGAAAAGACTTCTACATTCTAACAATTTTTTTTAATTACAAATAAATGTTCATAAATTACAAACAAACCCTTCTTTTAAACTTCCCATTCATTAAAAAATTCTGAAAAAAAATATATCATGGTTTTCACAAAAATATTACGCAACACAACTGTTTATACACAACATTGATAATAATAAGACATGTTTCTTGAGCAGCAATTTAGATAGATAGATAGATAGATAGATATTTTATTCATCCCTTCAGGGAAATTCGCTATGTTTATTTGGCATATTAGAATGATTTCTGAGATCATGTGACACTGAAGAGTGTTCAGCATTGCATCACAGGAATAAATTACATTTTAAAATATATTCAAATAAAAACAGGAATTTTAAAATGTAGTTTTTCACGATATTGCTGTTTTTACTGTATTGATCAAATAAATGCAGCCTTCAGACTTTCTTTTTTTTAATTGTGAATCAAATCAGAAGAAAGTAAACACTGTCCTTGACATTGACAGGTTGTCTCTGAGGTGCTTTTTGCTGGGACAGATTCTCCAAGCCAGTGCAAGACTCCAAGTTCTTCAGATTCCCCAGTATATACACCACCTCCACCCCCACAGTCCCCTGTTGCCTCTTGCTCCGGTGTACAGCAACCCTTGGAGGTCATAGGTCAACTCATGCAGGATGCAGAAGGTAGGAAGACCTCATGCATTCCCTTTAAACTAGCTGTAAAACTGTATGACGACGTGTGATTAACAGGTCACGCAAGGGTCGAGTGTTTTAGCCTGAACCTGTTATAAATAGCAGGATTGACCCTTCAGAGTGTGCTTAGAACAACAGAATGCATGTTTGCAATTAATGTAGATTGAACTTATTCAAATTGTATATAGTGTACATTACGAGCTGCGCGAAAAATCGCGCGAATATGAATGTGGTTTTGCGCAGCTCGTCAGTGAACAACGGCTCTGTGTAGTTAATGCTGCTCAATGTGAAAGCACGCAGGTGATGGAGATTTACCGCTGATTACAGAACCAGCTTTACTGACAAGATGTGCGTTAAATATCGCATGCGATTTATCGTGCAGCCCTAGTGTACATTGTATATATATATATATATATATATATATATATATAAAATATTTTTTTCAAATAGTTTTATTCTAAATATGTTTTATTATTACATACATTTTATTATATGTTTTATTTATCTTTTTTTTTTTTTTTTTTAATAGACTACTGTCTGGCATTTTTCAATGTTTTTAAAATTAGTCTCTTATGCTTACCAAGGCTGCATTTATTTGGTCAAAAATACAGTAAAAACAGTATTATTGTGAAATATTATTACAATTTGAATAATACATTTTCTATGTGAATAAAATTTCAAATGTAATTTGTTTCTGTGATATCAAAGCTGAATTCTGAATTCCTGATTTTTGATGAATAGAATGTTCAAAAGAACATTTATTTGTAATAAAAAAATTTAACAATGTAAAAATCTTTACTGTCTCTTTGTTGCATTAAAAAATGATATATTTTAAATGCAAAGTTAATTTATTAAAAAAAAAACAGCAACAAAAAACAACTTACTGACCCCAAACTTTTGAATGGTAGTGTGTATAAATAAGGTAACAAGTTTTTATTAATTTTTTTCTCCCCTCATCCTGATATCACAATCTTACATACAGACTCAGATGGGCAGGAGTTTGAAGACGATGCTTTGTTGCAAGTCCTCAGACAGCAGAGGAAATGGATGAAGGAACAACTTTGGTAAGAATATCTATAGTTTATCTGTTAACAACATATATACAGTACATCACACAAATCTGCACTAGTGAATTACTTTTTGCTTGATCAGTTTTTCATTTTTTACTTTCCAGTGAGGTTGATAAGATGCTCCAGCAGCTCTGACGCACCTGTTTAATATATCAATGATGCAATATGTTTCACATTATCATGTTTGCTTCTATTTATTTATGCTGTTTTATGTTGTGTATTCAAACATGTATGAATGTATTTCTAAATAAAGACCTTTGCAAATAAACAAGGGTGGTACATTATATTTATTTATATTCAAACTGTACATCACACAAATATTAGAACTAAATTAACACTTACATTATTATTTTATTTTTTTTAAATATGTACAATCTCACCATAGCCTATCAAGATTAACTGACCAGTCTGTGCAATTTTGTGAATAAGCAAGTCATTTCTGAATGGTTCACATGCTAAATTCAGTATGACTGTGGGTTTGTGTGTTTGGATGTGGAGAGACCCTGTTAACTTGAGGACAAATTTGTCACTCTTACAGGCTCTGTGCTAAACCGACAGCGAGTGTGAAGAAAATGTGATCAAATCTTCTTGTTGGCTTGAAATCAAGTATGTTTGGAGTTGGCATTTGAGTTGAGCAGTCCACCACCACAAGGGGGAGTGAGAGGAAGCGAGCCTGTTTTGGTCTTCACCATTGCTTTAGGTGAGAAACCCAGAAGATGGGAGCTTTAAGTGCCTTGCATTAACATGTTAAGAACTAAAACTGAAGAAGGGCAAAAAAAAAAAGTCCAAATATGAGTGTGCGGGAAACTGCGTGTGTGGCCGTGCACATCATTGTCCGGTGTGATTTAACATTCTGGAATTATCTCCTTGTGTCAGAGGTGCTGAGATTACTAGCATGCTTTCCGGTGACATGGCTGATTCCAGTGCCATGATGTCCACTCCGTTCGGGATCCGGTATCGCCGGTTAAACTGACGTGTCACCAGTCCTGAACCATCCTAGGATTGAACGGACACATATATCATGCTCTTAAACGTCAGGTCTCAGATGTCCTGTACAAAGTGTTTTATAGCAGGTTTAACATATGATAATCCTAATGCATGTTAAAACAGGAGTCAGAGTTAGAAAAGAAAAAGCCACTGGGTATCTTACCTTTTTTTGTTCATGTTTTCCCTCAACCACAACATAATCTCCAACCACTTTTACCAGCAGCTCCTCGGGACTGAAGTGTTTCACATCAACCTGCACAGTGAATCCCTTATGATCACAGGTCACCTGTAGAGAAAGTGAATTTAATGAATTACCAGAACACAATCCATTTCGAACTCTACTACAGAGAAAATTTAAAGATTTAGTTATTTATTTTATAGTATATATTTTTTACATTTTTTTTCTAGATCTAAAATAATGATTTTTTTTTTTATTTAATATAGATTTTATAGGTTTTTTAGCTTTATATTTTCATCATTACCACTAGCTCTTGTGCACTTGCTACTATATAATTCTTTATATCATATATTTATAATTTCATATTTCATAGTCAACAACTTTTGTTTGTAAATTTACTTGGACAAATTCACTGTAAAAGTTGAAATATGAGAACTAAGATAGACTTTTCGTAGTTAAAATTGATAAAATAATAACAATGTTAATTTTTTTCATTATTATTATTGTTTTATTTATAATTAATATATACAGTATATAGGCTATAGTGTTTTATACAGTGAGAAGTTACCACAGATAATTTTTATAATAACACGTATTACTCCACCTGTGCTGCTCCGGTGTGCTCAGAAACCGGGATTAAAAGTTCGGTTGGGGTCCATGAATAGGGTCCCATTTTCCCGTTCCACCGGGGGAATAACGGTGGGAGAACCCTTTCCCATGGGATACCGCTCACCGGAAGAGAAGGAGGCAAGTCGAAGTCCATGTTTCTTGGATGAATGTGAAATAATAACCACTAAATAGACTAATACTGCTTCAGAAAATTCAGAGTGTATGACTAGTTGGTTATTATGTTGAAGTCTATCCTGTTATGCAACAGAAAGCAGGAAAATTGTTGCTCTCCAGGTTAGTAGGAGGTTTAAATAGCTTGAGGAAAACACCGCCCCTTTACATGAGTTCTTCCTCTAAACAAATAACAGAAATAAGTGGACTGATGATGGTGCTGTCAGAGATCTGAGATAGTTAATCGTGGAGCGCGATGCCAAAAGTTATTAAAGCTGCATTTGTTGTTATGGAATGCCAGTGACAGGAGTGGGATTTAACCCCTTATTTTATTCCCATGATGAAAGCATCCCCTTATGTAATATTTCAGTGGGGAACACGATGGTCCCCATTCAAATGGTCGCAATCCCTGTCACCACCTTGGCTGTTTTATATTAAGCAAAGAGTGACACTCAGAAACCGAATGTGCTACTTACTATTCAATGTCAAAGGGTGGTATGTGTAATATGGTGAGGTGTCCGTCTATAAATAAATTGGAAAGTGCAAACCGCTCTGGTCATATTTATCCACATGACACAGCACGTGCGGACATTTAAAGTAAATTACGTATTTTATTTCCAGATTACAATATAGCATATAGGCCTATATGATTATATAGTACAAACGATTAACCGCTATTAATCGCATCCAAAATAAAACTTTTTGTTTACATTATAAATGTCTGTGCTGTGTAGCCTATATTTATTATGTATATATAAATACACACACATAGGCTACAGTATATATTTTTAAAATATTTACATGCATATAATTTATATAAAAATATTTATTATATAAACCTAACATATTTTTCTTGAATATATATATATACATGCATGTGTGTGTAGGCCATTACTTAATATACACAGTACACACATAATGTATATATTTTATATATATATATATATATATATATATATACACTGAACAAAATTATAAACGCAACACACTTGTTTTACTTGTTTTTTTTCATGAGCTGAACTCAAAGATCTAAGACTTTTTCTATGTACACAAAAGGCCTATTTCTCTCAAATATTGTTCACAAATCTGTCTAAATCTGTGTTAGTGAGCACTTCTCCTTTGCCGAGATAATCCAGAGAGATTCCTCTACAAGTTTCTGTAACGGACGGTACAGCAATAAAAGATAAGTATTGATAGCCCTTGCTGAAGTATCATTCACTTTATTGGAGATTGTATTTCACAAATATATCACGAAAAATAGATTTTACTTTAATAATTTTTATTTTTTTCAAATGACGTTTGCCTGATAGTGGCGCCAAGATAATTTGGTCATGCAACAACAAATTCTTGACAGAAATTTCTTTAAAAGACTTCAACGTCCACCTAGATAAACCTCAGGCTGCAGACTTCCACACTCTGCTTG